CAGGCCTGGAACCATACCATCCCTAAATTGATTCAACCCTAACTGATTCTCATCCAATCGACGATCTGAATCAGAAATCACCAAGTTTTAAAACATTGCTAGCAACCATTAGTGGTAGTGGGGCACTTATGAAATGTAAAGGAATGGACTAGCAGACACAAGATGTGCCCTAGGCAACATAGAATCGGTCTTCCTAGGGATTTTGGGAAAGAATCTCATTTTCTCATCTTCCGATGGGGAATCCAACTCATCTGTGGTCTCGCGCATGCACAAGAAGGCACATAGCAGATGCATATCACTCTTGACAGCATCAATAAAAAAGAAACATTAGCATCAAAAGTATTAATTAACCAACTAAACTACGATGATTAATTTAGTCGTGGTCCCTTTTATTAACATTAATAAAGAATATGACCAAATGGCATGGCTACTAACCAGTATTTTAAAACTCGAATCCGTGGGGCAAATCATTTACCCATAGATTTGTGTCAGATTGTTGGATTGGTGATCCAGATTGGATTTGGATCAGTCCAAATTGGTGATTCAATACAAAATTAAATATAAATAATAAAATAAAATTTTAAACTAAGAGTTTATCGGCGATTTGGATTGGAAATCGCTGGGTTTTAAACCAATGGGACCAACAATCACTCTAAAAAAATTCTCTATGGCGAAATCGGTCTAAACCTTTGTGGTAAAGTTCCAAAATTTGCTGCTCATAATCTTCATAAATTCTATCTGAATGAGGGTGTAGCCCTTGATAGAGCAGAATAGCATAATACGATTCATATAATGACCCTTAAAAGTTAGGATAAGATTGAAATGATGATGATGAATTTTCCGCAATTCTTTGTGGTAGTTCTTATAAGTAAGTCAATTCTTTGATTACAATACATTTAGGGAAACTTATGTGGGGACCACAGTCGATTTGTAGACCCTGGACCTGGCTAGGAAACATGGTTAATGTATTCGATGGCCACTTTTTCTTTAGTTAAGAATCTAGACAGCTAGACCACCTATCTCATGGTTCAATAAAAATCGAATCAAAAATCCCCCATCCAGATCAATTTTGGCTGGTAACATGGCTAATTCTGTTATAATTGAGAGTCAACTTAATATTAGTCTGTGTCAAAGACATTCAATTTATCGAATCTCCAAAAAAGATTGGTGATTCCTTATGGAGACCATTTTATGTAATTTTTTTTAAAAAAAATTGGTCTAGATTAAAAAACCCAAATCAGATCATTCAAGTGGAGAGCCGATCCGATACCCAGGTTTCCCTGGTCTTCAATCTACATGGTTGATCGGGCATATAATTTTAGGAGACAAATTCAATTTTCTATACTCGATGCAAATAAACAAAGTGCTAAAAGTTTTTCCATTTGTTCAATTGTTTCCCTTTGTTCAATTGTTCTATACTCGATGCAAATAAACAAAGTGCTAAAAGTTTTAGCACAAAGTATAAAACGTGCTAAAACTTTCTATACTCGATGCAAATAAACAAAATGCAAATAGACCATTTTAGGGTTTTTCCATTTGTTCAATTGTTTCCCTTGGGTGCTTGGTAAATATGATCAATAATAATTTGGCTGAAGTTGGTTTCAGGTTTGGTCTCAACTAAAAATGGGGCGCTGACTTGATTGGTTCATAGTTGACGACGTCCTAGTTTCCAATGGTCCCACCTGACCACAAAAAATGGTTTGATCTTGATTGTTTAAGCAAGTGATTTAAAACTCGGTGAATCGAAACAGGCGTGTCCGATTCGACTCGGGAATCAGTCACCCCGTGTCGTTTCTCGGAAATCGGTCACCCCATATCGATTCCTCTAAAATGCATAGACTCGCCCGGTTCTAGAGGAGAATCGCCAGTTCTAAACAGTCATTCGAACTCTTCTAAAAAGAGTAGACTCGCCCGATTCTAGAGAAGAATCGCCGGTTATGAACAGTAAATCAGTCACAAAACGGAATATGACATAACTAATTGGTTAATAACTAATTGGTTATAAATCGTCAAGTCACTAGATGAGGGTATTTTTGTAATTTAGTTTAAAAATCGAGACAACAAAGGTTTTTTTGTAAAGAAGGGCATGTGTACCTCATGCTACATCGTGCTGCCCACTTTTCGGAATACGCTAACTAGTGTCATATTGAGGAGGTATTTATTCCCCTCAAACTTCTTTTATTTCTTCGATGTGGGATTCGGATACGGTAATAAAACGTTGAGATGGTAATTAAATATATACTATTATTATGGAAAGCAAAACACTTAGTGATGTGGCGGTGCAATTGGTTATTATTTACAATTACGTCTTGGCTGTAACAAGTTCCAACCTGGGCATTATCCTTCTACAAAGAAGAAAATAATGCTGTCAAAAAAAATAAAAAGAAAAAATTAAAAATTAAAAGGTAATACTTTGTTTTCAAAAAGAATGAAAAGAAGAAAATAATGTTGTCAAAAAAAAATAAAAATAAAAAAATAAAAAATAAAAGATAATACAACAAACATTTCTTATAAACAAAAAACAAAAAAGGTAATACAAGATCTTCTTATTTTTCTTGTCAGAAAAAAGAAAAGTAATACAACAAGTATCATATTTTTTTTGTAAAAAAAAATAAAAGATAATACAACAAGTATTTTTTGTCAAAAAAAATAAATGGAAATTCTTAATAGAACAAGTATTTCTTAATACAACCTAAGAATAAATGGTCTAATTATATTTTTTTATTTTTATAACGTGATGATCTTTAACATAAATTTAGGAATATTAATTTAAATATAGGGTTCATACATTGAGGCCATTTGAAATCTCTCTCTCTACTAACAATCACTTCCACTAAATTTATTCTAGAAACCTAGAAATTTAATTTTTGAAAAATTAAAATGTTATTTCCAAAATTGGTACGCATTCTAATAATTTCTACATTGATAACCAAATCTTTTATTTTATTTTTTAATTTAGTTGCATTATAAATCATGTAATATACTATTTTCCTTACAGTTGTCAATAATACATTTTAAATTAGCTGATATTATAAGATATTTAGGATTTGTTATTATTTGTATAATAAAATAATTATAAAATACAAACTAACAATTTCAATTTCAGTATATAATATTATAGTTAGTTAGGTTTTAATAATTTTGGATTATAGTGAGTTAGGTTGTAAGAATTTGGGTTTTTTTTTAGCGGATTAGGGTTTCCACCAATTCGAGATTTTAGTCGTCATTTTTTCATCGATTTAATCCATTATTTATTGTAGTCCATGTATGATTATATATTTTATCCATAATAATTTTATGATTTTTCTTTTGTGTGATATAAATTTAATGGTTAACATAAGTTCATACAGGGAAAGAACATCTCAATATTCATAATTTGATGAAAAAATGAAAGTTAATAATATACTACCCCCATTTCTTATTGGATTCCTAAAAAAAAATATTTACAATGAATTTTAATAATTTTTTTGAATTTGTTTTAAGGCTTAATTCAACCGATTTGGCAAATTCATTGATTCAGATGGGTTTTTCGGGTGCCCGAAATGGGGCACCGATCCTTTTTTTAAACCACTGGTTTAAAGCCTTTTGGGTGCCATATTGTTCCCATTTTGGCGGAATTTCCTAGGGCCTGCCTCACACTATTTATGCCTGGTGTGCTGGGCTCTAGCTTAGACCTGATGCCTATAGGGGTAGTTTGACCTTGACAGGGGCAAAGAGGCCCAACCCTGAAGCTATTAGGGCCTGACCACATGGAAAAAATGAAAGAATAATAATATATATATATATATATATATAACAAAAGGGTAAAGACGGGCTGGCTAACCCTGTCCTAGGCCCAACCCTTGAGCAGTGATGGATTTTCCATCAACCCACATTTTGCAGTCGCCTTAATTTTTTAGGGCCAACCGAAGCTGGGCCACTAGGCCCATTTTCACCCCTAACTATATCGTGTGCAAACCAAATAAACTAGGAAAAATTATATAAAAATCCGTTATACTTTGCGTTATTACAGATATACCAAATAGTTTATGTTATTACATGTATACCCATTTTTTACTTTTTATAACGTATTTTACTTTTTATAACGTAATTTTTTAAAAAAGACCACTTTACCGTTTTTCGGATGTTCAACATCCGAAAATAGGCCGAAAGTTAAATGTTAAATTTCTTTTTTTCGGATATTGAACATCCGAAATTAAGGGATTTTCGGATGTTCAACATCGAAAAATACCCCGATAGTTTAATGTTAAGTGTAACATTTTTGGATGTTGAACATCCGAAATTAAGGGATTTTCGGATGTTCAACATCGAAAAATACCCCGATAGTTTAATGTTAAGTGTAACATTTTTGGATGTTGAACATCCGAATTTAAGAGATTTTCGAATGTTCAACATTCAAAAATACCCTGATAGTTAAATAAACCTTCGTCTTCTCTGTTTTCGGATGTTGAACATCCGAAAATCTCTTAAATTTGGAAGTTCAATATTCGAAAATGTTATACTTAGCGTTAAACTATCGGAGTATTTTTGGATGTTGAACATCCAAAAATTCCTTAATTTCGGATGTTCAACATCCGAAAACATGAAATTTATCGTTTAACTTTAGGCCTATTTTTGGATGATGAACATCCGAAAATCCCACCAATTCGGATGTTCAACATCAAAAAAAGGATAAAGTGGTCTTTTTTAAAAAATTACGTTATAAAAGGTAAAAAAAGACATACATGTAATAACGGAAACTATTTGGTATATCGGTAATAACACATAGTATAACAGATTTTTATATAATTTTCTCAAAAAACTATATTTTCTTAAAAAAAATATACATAGAGACCATTTACCTATGATACAAGGTGGTCATAATTAATCTTTGACCATCGGATGTGAAATTGGACACAAGTTTTGAGGCGTTCATAAATCTACTTGATTTATCATGTTTGGAGTTTTAAATGAAAATAAATTTTCATGCCATCATATGATTTTGAGTTCCGAACAACATCTTTAGACACTATTTGAAGGTGTGCATTGCTTTGGGCGTCGGCCTTAACATATCACACCCTTCCTTTATTCCTTTGAAATCCAAGCCTCTTAAAGATCACTATACACGTGGAAAAATAATTTAAAGGAAGGACTACACTGAAATCTCTCATATAATGTCTTCCTCCTCCTAAATCTCCTCTCTCCCTCCATTATTACTGATCACAAAGGCACCAATAGGGCACCAATAGTCCACAAGTGGATCACAAAAATCTAGCTACCCCACCCCATACATACATTATTACTGATCACAAAGGCACCAACTTCACAAGCGGAACTCAAAAAGAAGGCTTGCTGCTCTCTAGGCGTAGTCCTCTGAGGAAGGGAGCGTCTGGTAGGACCCAATGAACATGGAGTCATACACCAATCCAGCCAATGCTCCACCGATGAGTGGGCCCACCCAGTAGACCCAGTTATCGGTGAAGTCTCCACTGATAGCCGCGGGCCCGAAGGACCGGGCTGGGTTCATTGAGCCTCCGCTGAAGGGGCCGGCGGCGAGGATGTTGGCGCCCACGATGAAGCCGATGGCGATGGGAGCAATGGTGCCGAGAGATCCCTTCTTCGGGTCGGCGGCGGTGGCGTAGACAGTGTAGACGAGGGCGAATGTTATGACGATCTCCATTACCACGCCCTCGCCGGCGCTCGTGCCGGAGGCAAGGGTGTGGGTTGGGATGGTCTGAAAGATTAGCAATCATGGGTGTGTGTTAGAGAGAGAATTTTAGAGAGAGAGAGAGAGAGAGAGCTTGAGCAAGGCCTTACCAGGCCACCGGTGACGAACTTCAACAAGAGGCAAGCCACAACGGATCCCAAGACCTGGTGGGCTATGTACAGTACTGCTGTGAGTATGGTGATGTGTCCCCCAACAGCCAATCCGAGGGTGACAGCTGGATTCACATGACCACCAGATATGTTTGCAGCCATGGCCACGGCCACGAACAACGCAAAGCCATGGGCCACCGCAACGGCCACCAAGCCCGCCGGGTCAAGAGAGGCGTTCGATGTGAGCTTATCTGCACATCCCCAAAAAATCGACGGCTCACATAAGTTTGGCACTAAGGGCTTGCAAAATCATTGAATGTGTAACGCCATAGTTATTAAGATCGGACAAAACAGGCACTCTCACTGCTTCGACCGCTCTGATTTCAGTGTAAAAATCGAGTTTCGTTAAAAATTGATTAAACTCAGTCTTTTTAGCTTATTTGACGGATCCATATTAGTCGCCACGTTCTCTAATATATTATATATTTTTTAAAAGGGTGCGGGTTGAATAGAGTCAGGTTCTAAACAATCAAATCGAGAGCCAACCATCAACTAGTAGTACGTGGTTTCAATATTAGAAATTTTAGTGATGACCTTAACTTATATTTTTATAGTTATTTATAAAGTTTAGATCTTCAAAAATAGTGTAGATCAACATATCTATGAAAACTGATGATCTAAAATTACGTTACAAAATACACTATTTTCAAAACTTGAAATCCATTTTTTCCTCATGTCTATGCATCTTGATGTCAAGATTATCAATTTGAAGATATGTGAGCGTCAAAACTACATCTTCTAGTGAAATTTTTGAGATAAGCTCAAATTTAATTGTTTAGAGCCTTAGTTCTATTTTCTCTTTTTAAAATATTATTCATATTTTTAAAATAGTTTTAAAATCTAGTCAAATTGATTCGAAATTGGGCCGGACCCTTTACCGGTTTGGTTGCAGGTTCAATCCCAATAACAGTAATATAAATAATTAGTAATTTAGTTTAAATGAATGATGTATGAGAGAGAAAGAGAGCACTGACTGTAGGAAATGGCCGATCCAACACCGGCAAACACGAAGAGGAGAGTCGATATGTACTCGGCAAAGTAGGCCTTGAAGGAGGTGAAGGTAAACGAGTCCCCAAAGCTTCCAAAAGCGATCTTTGCCATCGATTCAAGCAACGAAGGTCTGAGATATAATCGAGAGCACAATTTCTAGAGAGAGAGAGAGAGAGTTCCTCAAGCTTGGTGGTAGAGAGATGGGCTCTCTGGTTTATATAGCATAAGAGTTTGGGGGCCATAGACGTAGAGGACTATAGCCGGCGCCGACCATGGGGCCCTCTAAAAATGGCGAAAGAAATTATATTAGGGGAAATAAGGCCCCAACTCAAGAAAATATTATAAACTCCCATCAATTTTTCAAAAGCAAATCACCATTATTTTCTCAAAAGAATAGAAACCCTTTTGTCTCTCACTTTGGGAGGAAAAAGATCCTCCACCAGAAAAAATATATATAAAAAACACACACACACATACTCCCTCTCCACACCAAAAAAAAACACACTCTCTCTCTCTCCACACCAAAAACTTTTTAAAAAAACACACACACCCAACACAACTCTCTTTCTCTCTCCCTCCACATGAGAGAGAGTAGACAGCAGTAAGAAACTAAGGATAAGGACATGGTCACGATTTAAAATATATTGAGAGTTCAGTGTTTCATGGGCAAAACACCAAAATAAAAACAAGAGAGAGCTCTAAGGATAAGGAACAATTCATTATTATTTCATAACAAATTGGATGGTTCTTGATGGGATGAAAGTTAGGCTATAGTTTTCATAAACCAATGCCAAAAAAAAACAAGCACTCAGGGAAGGACTTGCTAGACACTTACCATCAGAGACTCGGTTTGAATCCAAATAAAAAATAATAGAGATGTTCACACCTTAAAATGTAAAATTAAGGTCCACCTCTAAAATTCATCGAAAAACGTTGTTTTGATGTTGGAAAAATATATAATTGATCAACTCGACATTAAGATGTATAGATATAGAGTCAAAAAAGAGATTCCAAGCCGTAGAAATACTATATCTTGCAACATGTTATACAGACTATCATTTTCAAGATTTTCATGTGTTTATGTACCCCTTTAATGTAGACTATTTTTGGAGTTTAAAATTTCATAATTGAATATAAAATAAATTTTCGAACCATCGTAAGAAATTCTAACACCAAATTGCTTCTCATGGCAAAGTTTGGGGGTACCTTTGATGGTTTAAAGTTGCAACCTTATGCGAACCACATTTTTTATCAAAATAGGCACGAGAGATCAACTATTTAACATTTTACAGATTTATTTTGATTTAAATTCAAAGATCAAAATACATATGACCATGGGTTGGAATAGTCGAAAAACTATTAAATTACTAAAAGATTTAGTATATTTTGTTAAATTCTCGTGGTCAAGATTTGTGTCATTTTCATTCCTTCAAATTAAAAATTTATTTTACACATCAGCCATAAGATAAGGCCGTGATTGCGTGCCGACCCACCGTCCCTATGTTAATAAAACACAGCATAATGAATGCAAAGACAAAGGCATGTATTATTCCAATAATTTGTGGGCCATGATAAAAACTAGTAAATTACCTTTTCTGTTTTCCTTTTTTTGTGAGCAAATGGAAAAAGTCAGGCAGGCATTCCAGGAGGGCCAGGAAATGGGTCGGGGACAGTGTCCACATGGAGCCCGACCTTATCTAAACCTTGGTAGGGTCCAAGTCCTTTAGGCATTCTAGGTGGGGCAGGAAGGGTCGGGGACAGTGTCCACATGGAGCCCGACCTTATCTAAACCTTGGTGGGTCCAAGTCATTTGGGCCCAAATCCGACCTATTTGATCCGGATGGGATTAGGTTTAGAAATTAAAACTATAAAAATAATATTTTATATTTTATAATACACATTTATTATGAATTTAGATACCCATTATATGTATAAAAACCAGGTGGGATCGAGTCATGTCGGGCCATGGTGACCTTGACCCGATGTGATAAAGAGTCCAAGTTGAGACATAATGTATTCAACCTAGTGACCAATATAATAACATTAAAAAAGATAAATAAAAAATATTAACTAACACCTTGAGATTAAGATTAAACCAAGATCAAATATTTTAGACGGTAAGATCTAAGTGTTCAGAAACTTGTAATCTTTTTTTTATTCTAAAAACTACTATTGTAATTTTAAAATCGATTCATAATTTTAGATTTAAACAATTCTCTTAAATAGCTCTTTTATCTGATGGGGTAAGTGTAGAATATGCCCTTAGAGGGGAATTATGCTAAAGCCGTTAAAACCTAAATTTTGAAGTGACAAAAGAGATTCCCACCAGTTGTGGGGATGTCTTTATCTTAAAATAAGATTTAAAATAAGAGCACCACCCTCTCCATAGCCACATATGTATCATTATTCAATTCATTTTTTAAGTCTTTTTGTTTATTTGAGTGCTTATATCATTATTCAATTTGTACATTAACTTTTTGTGTGGCTTTGTTGGTAGGGGTGGCAATGGATCCGATCGGACGAGGCCTGGCTGGACCCGAACCCGACCTAAAAATGAAAAATATATATTTAAATATTATGTTAAATATATATATATATGTATTGTTTAAGATATTAAAACTAAAAATATATAATTATATTTATTTAGTTACTATTAAAATATTATATATTAAATACCATTTAAATAATAACATTATTCGGAGGTCTGGTTCAGGTTCGCATGACCCGGACCCAAATAGTGTTTGGGTCCAATATTTGAACCCAGACCCAACCGACCAGGTCCAATTTTTAGACACATTCCCCGACCCGGGTCCAGTCTTCGGGTCCGAGGTCCATTAACACCCCTATAATAGTTGGTTGCACATCGTTCTTCAACCTAACTACTCCAAATTATAACCATATTGTTTATCATCATGTGATATAATGAATAAAAATACTAATATAATCATCTTATTTATCATCATGTGATAAAATGAATAAAAATACTAATATTGGGTCTTTACTCTTATCAAGTGCACTTATTTTTGGATTATAAGGGACCATTTTGGGAAAATATGTTTCAATGCTTCATAATTAGAAAGTTAGGAGGACAAAGCCTTGGGCTTGAGAGGAATAATTCCTTGCCAGGAGAACCCACTTCCACAAGAGTGAGGGGCATCATTGTTGCATGTAAGAGAAGTTCAATTCTTAAAGATGGTGCATAATTGTGCGTTAAGAAATTTATCAAAATACTCATGAGAGTTGAACTATTTAACGTTTTATTCATGCAGTTTTATTTTATTTCAAAATGGACATCAAATGACACGTGGTTATGAGTTTAAATAGTTGGAAATGCATAAAATATATCATAATATATCTTTCATGGGTAGTTTGATAAATTTCCCTTATAATTTTCATAGATATCGCTTTCTCTAATTTTTAGGGACGACAGTGGGCCAAGTGCCCCAGCCGTAAAAGACAAGGGCCTAGGCCACAAAATGTTGATCAAAAGCCAGGACACGGGCTGACAACCACAGCATGGGGGTACAATCGGGCTGGGCCTATGCTGGTGCTGGGCCTAATTTATTTTATTTGGCCCTGCCCAGCCCTACTCCTTTTCAACAATTACTATACACCTATAACTCCAAACGATCCGAAGGCCCTAGCTAGCTAGCTAGCTAGTCTTTCAAGAAAGCGATAAGCATTGACTGTGTTATTGTTCTTCAATCACGTGGGCTGCATATTAGTGCACTTATAAGAGAGAGAAAGAGCTACATTCAAGAGAGAGAGAGAGCATTAGGGGCCCCTATGCCAGCCATTCCTTGCTAATATGACAAGCAAATGGTGGGGTTTATCTCTCAAGTTGCAAGGGTGCATGAACTACATAATACTACTATGGAAACAATGTGATGCATTGGTGAGGCCATGTGAATGGTGAGATTTCAAAGACATGTGCTATCTTATTTAAAAAAATGTAAATCTCTTAAACTTTGTCGAGAAAAGGTTACACCAAGTAGGTAGCATCTTTTCTTTTTTTAGAAGAATAAGAGATTGTTGATTTTCAATTTCATGAATAAAAAAATAACCCAAGAATAACATTTATTTAGGGTAAGGAAGTCATAATTACCTATAGTTGAATTGAGTGACCTATGGTATAACATTGACTGGCTCAAAGTCCAAGGAATTTTTCGAACTATGTAATATACGCCAAGCGATTGTGATTTTCTTATATGTAATATCAATAATAATATTATGATATCATTATCATTATCGTCAACGCCTTTTCACAATTGATTGAGGTCAGTTACACGAATCTTGATCTACTATTCTACTTTATTATTACGATACTTCATTCTACTTTATAATTGCCTCATGTAGGTCACGCAAGACAATAAGTGACCTCTATTTCATAAAATAATATCAGCACTTTATTTATTTAAAACTATATAAAAATAGATATTCATGTCTCTCTATATAAATACTGTTCACATTTGGTGATTGATTTCTCAATGCAAATCCCACAGGAATAGGTGATCTTCACTCACTTATCAATCTAAACCCAATACAAGACTCTCACAATAAATGGGAATTTCTTTGTTTCTCTCTAAATTAAAATTCTCTTTCTTTGCCTAAATCCAATTATTTGTCTCTCTACACTCAACCTGTGCATAGCGTGTGACGTGGAATAGTGTATTATTGTATGGCTTGGCCTTGCGACGGGCAAGGCCTTGGCCCAGTCAGCCCTAGTCTCAGCCATAGCCTGCCAGAGGCCCGAACCCTGGACATGGACAAATGAAGCTAGGCCAAGCCTAATACACAAAAAAAAAAAAAAAAAAAAGAAGAAGGGTTAGGACAGGTTGGCCCCATTGTAGCACTGGCCCAACCACATTTTTGGGCCCATGATCTAGTTGTTTAGGGCTAGGGACAAGGCGAGGCCGGGCCACTTAGCCCATTGCCAGCCCTATAAATCTATACATGCCACAAATTATCGTAGGAGCCGGATGTTGTGTGTCAAATACTTAACTATCCCTATTAGTAATATCGAGATTAACTCTATTTGATTTTTTTGATAAGCATACTCTTTGTTTTGAAGTCTTTTGGAATAACGTATGAAGAGATATATTTACAATCATGTTTGGAAGATCTCTAATGAAATCCTCTGTGATTTATGCTTTAAACTCAATCAGTTAAAATTTGATAGAGAAGTAAGTTATGTTGGATTACAAATCACAAGGTTTCGACCTTTTATAGTTTCCCTCTTTACAAGCCATCGATCATGAGATCGCGTAAAACTAAAAGA